TTTCCCTTTCCCCTTCCTCTCTCTCTCTCTCTCTCTCTTTGTTTCGCATTCGTTCCCGCAGATATTTTATTTTTCAACCGGTTCGCAGAGATATTGACACGAGTGTCAACGATAAAAACTGATCGACACCGCGTCCACTTCCGCCGATGATTGATAGCAAGGTGTTCCACGTGCTTACTTTTTTTTTTTTTTTTTCTTTTTTTTCCTTTTTCCTCTCTCGAACACTCGTTCAACAACTCGGCAAGCTACGATCGTGGTGGATGTGTTTCATTAGCTCGACGGCGTAGGGAATAGAAATATTGTTCGTAAAGATATATTGTTTTGGTTAAGTAGTGGAGAAAAATTTTCTTTAAAAGAGATATCGTTGAACAAAAATTAAAAATCCGAATTCTCTGTCGATTCGATCGTGAACACGATATTATCAACTATATATATAGTTTTGTAAGAGAGTATACGTTAAAATGAAAATGAATTTTTCAAAAAATCCTTCAAAAAGAGTAAAGGAATCCAATCGAAAAGAAGAGACGAAGAATCGACTCGAACGATTCAACATTCGTTGAAATCTGATGAACTGAAAACTGATAAATCCTCCTCCCCCCCCCCCCGGTATACACTCGTCGAAAGAATTATTTCGAGGAAGATATCGCAATTTAAACGATGCTCCAATCGTGGAAATATCGCGTGGGCGAATATGAAAGAGCGACTACTTTCTCTCCTCGCCCAGGCCACGTGGTTTTCCGTGTGGTGGAACCGCTATCGTGCCGCGGGGAGGGCAGGTTAATCGGTTGACAAAAGGTTATGTCATTTCACGTTGGCTGCACGCACGCAGGTACACGCGTGACTTCCTGGTTACACGGTTGCTTTCGCTCGACTTGTCGCTCGATCGAGTTTCCGATCGTTACGTTGCGTGAAATCCGATCGGTTCTCACTTTTCCAAATATCAGGAATCACGAAGGGAAAACGAAGGAAGGATTAACGAAGCGAAGATGGGAGAAAATTTGATTGGCAAATCACATTGGTCACAACGACGAAAAGTTGAGTAGTTTTAGAGGGGATCCACAGGTTGTTGCTGGTTGAAATATTTCGAGAGGAAGGAAATGTCGGAAAAGAGGAATGAATTTTGGGAAATGAAAATTGGAGAAAGTTAAATTATATATATATATATATATATTCAATTCTCGAAATCAGGGAAAATGATTTTTATTTGGGATCGTTAAAGAGAACCACATAGAAATCCGTCGTGTGGCTGAAAAGGAGAGAAACGATCGCCTAGCGTTGAAAGTATCTTGACTTTCGATCGCGTTGATGGGCGAGAAACTTTCGAAAGTAAAAGTTGACGATGCTCAAATTTCTACGCTCAAAAATGCGAGGTTTTTCGCATCAAAAGTTTTTGCCCCAATCTTTTTGAACGAGAAAAAGGAAGAATTATCGAACGACGGGCTATTTTAAGAATATATATATATATTTTTTCTATAATGTTTCGATAAATAATATCGTGTTGCCGCCATTGGTTATCCGACTATTTCGTGATCGATAAATAAGGATTTAAAAAAAAAGAAAAAACGAAAATATCTTCAAGGAAACTACAAGGAAATAAAAATAACCTCGCCGATTGATAAATTTTTAATACGTATAACGTGACCTATAATATATATGAAATAAATAACTCGTGAAAATTTCCTTCTTGTAAATTCGAAGCTTGGCACGAAAAGAAACAATACGAATTTTCCTCCTTCTATACGATTATATCGAGTTACTTTTTATTTAAGAAATTCGAAATTATATAATAAAATCACGATGTCTCTTAAAAAAAAAAAAAAAATAATGTGTACAGCGAGTATTCACACACACACGCACACACAAGACACGTATCTCGGGATTGAGAACTCAATTGCTGTCAGATAAACGTAACCACTTGTTTTTCGCTACAGAAAATGCGCAGGAAACGGTGGCCTGATCGCGAAACCAAATACGGAACTGGGTTAGCCGAGTGTCTCGCCATTCTTGGTTCCCTTGGGCACCCCAAGTATCCATCTCTCCAATTACTATCGTTGCCAGTTTCGTACACACGATTCAATATCTAAAATATATATATATATATATAGGATAGAATTTAATACACGGAATATTAATAACACGTTCGTGGAATAAATTTTTTCTTTTAAGGAATTCCAAATTAAAAAATTTATCTGCGCACGAAGAAAAGCACAAGTAGTTAGCTAAGAAAATTAATTAATATTAAGGAAAGGCTTGTAGGATACG